AATAGATTCTGATAGAAAGATTCTGTGAAACAACAACGACAAAATTTCATATATAAAAAAAAATCAACAAATAAAGATGCTACCCATATAATACTTGAGAAATGATAGAAATTTTTTTTTTCTATTTCTTGTTGGTGCAAAAAATTCCAACCAAAAAACAAAAAAAAAATAAGAGACAAGGACATACAGTTGAGTCAAATGGAAAAGAAGAAGAAAATACAAAAAATACAAATTGTATTTGCGCCATTGCTTTTCATTTTCACATGATGATCATTTTTGCTATATAAAAAAGTATATTACAGTGTTCATGTTCCAACCGATTCAACGAGTTAGATTTGAAAAAAATTTCAAAAATTCAAATTTAAATTATGTGGGAAAAACGAAACAAAACGAAATCCGAGATTCAAGATGCGAAATGAGAAACATTTTTTTGCGTTCAAAATACAGATTAAGATTTGGTTTTGTTTTGTTTTGTTTGTCCACCTACAATAATCATAATGAATTTTCTTTTTCTTTTTTTTCTGCACACATCATATTCATACTTCCTTATTCATCAGAATGAATTCATTTCATAATCAAATCGTATTGAAATACTAATGACCAAATACAAATTCAATCAGAAAATGATTTCGATAAACAATATAACACTGTAGCGTTTTTCTTCTTCTTTTTTCATTATTTCGAAACAGGATTATCCAATAAGTCCAATTTGTTTTGCAATCACAAAACAACAACAACAATAACAAACGCAATGACGTATATGAAGAATTAATTTTGCAACACGCCGAAAAAAAGTTAAGAATATAAAAAACAACAAAACAATAATGACAAGCAATTATTATTTTGGATTTTCATTAATGTTTAAATATAGATATTGATAATTTATGGATAAAATGAAATGAAATGAAATGAATGACAGAAATAGAAAAAATGAAGTATTTTTGCTACTGTTTTGACTTCTGTTTCGAGTTGATGCTATTGTCATCGTCATTGTCATTGTTGTCAACTTACCAATGATTTTGATGATGATTATGATGGTTATGGTGGTTATAATTATGAAAACTATTACTACGTTGAAATAAATTAGACATATGTTGTTCATATGGTAAAAATTGATTTGATGATGAAGATGTTGACGATGTTGACGATGATGATGATAAACTTGTTGATGATGAATATGCACCAGAATCATAATGAATTGGTGAATTATTATTCATTGTTGTTGTTGTTGTTGGTGAAGGATATTTTGGTTGATCTAAAATTTTCATCGGTATTGATATTGGTAAACTTTTACGTATTTTATTTGGATAAATTGATTCTGATGGTGGTGATTTTAGTTCATCATCAAATGATTTATCATTATGATGAAATGATGACATTATTTCAGAATGTTGTTGTTGATTATGAAAATTACTAGTAGTAGAATATTTCTCTGATAGAAAATATAAATTTTCATATGTTGCTGGTGCTGAATTTGAATAATAATAACCCACACCAAACATTGCCATGTTTGATTTGATAATGTCTTTTCAGTAGTGAAAAGATTGTCAATTATGTTAATGTCGTTTGAGATTACGGTGATAATTAGTTGAAATATGAACTTTTTTCTTCTTCTACTTCATCTCAAGCAAATTTAATAATAATTTTCTCGTTCATGGACAAATTTTTAGTTTTTTCTTTACAAAAAATAATAATTTTTTTGGATAATTATCATCATCATCATTATCATCGCATCATCAATTAAAAACAAAAAAAAACGAAACGAAAATTCTTGTGCACGCAAATGTTCGTTATTTTCATTCATTCAATATAACTTTGTGCACATACTAAAAAAGTAAATATATTAAGTAAATAAATGTATGGAAAATTATCTATCAAACAGTTTATAATTGCTTCCGTTAGTAAAGTAAAAAAAATGATGGTTATCATTATCTTTTCTTTCTTGAATATAATATGTATGCTTTAATCATCATCATAATGATGGAGGCAAATCTTTTGATGATTATGATGATACGATTGGTGGATGATGAAGATTTGGATTGGATTTGATGAACAACATCAAACATCAACAAACAAATAAAAAACTATCAATATTTGATATGGGGTAAAGATCCTTGATCTTGAATTTTGTTCAATGATGATTTTGTTGGCCAAATTCGTTGTCACAATAATTTTTTTCTGGTGAAAAATGAAAATCATCATCGTATTGGCGATGACGACAACTGAAAACACAACAAGGAAAAATAATTTCGAAAATATTCTCCCTTTTGTTTTGTTCAGGTATATATCATTCATGTGATGGGTTGATTTGATTTTAGATTAATTTAAAAATCGACAATTTCAAATTCATAAATGGAAAAAAATGCTTGTTCATTATGGATGAAAATGAAAATGAAAAAATTGTCGATGAGGATGATGAGGATGATGTAAAATCATGCTGTTGTCGTTGAATTCTTTCAATATTAAAGTGTCATTTTGAATCATCATTGTATCGATTAACAAAAGGTAAGTTATATTGAGTGAGTATATTGAGTTAATAGGTAAGTTGAGGAAGCAAAACAGAATATTTGATTTTTGTTTGTTTCATTATGTTTGGTTATTCTAAATCAAATTTTTTCCAATTTTTGTGATCCCTTTTTAAATACCCAAATAATTTCATAGTGCAGAAAAAGAAATGTGTGTGTGTTTATGGAAATAAGAAGAAGAAGAAGAAAAAAAAACGCCATGATATGAGGGGATCAAACATTTGAATACGAAACAAAATACGAAAGAAAAAAATTGTGCACACCTACGATATATTACCAACAACCAAACCAACAACAACATGGAAACATCAAATCGATCAACCAAAAAAGAAGAAATGTAATGCACACATGTACACATTTATTGGAAAAAAATATATATATTGATACACTGAATATTGATGCGGTGGTGGTTAGGGCCAAAACCAATGATGCATCTTACACAATCTCTTTAACCATAAACACACAAACATACACAAGTACATTATATCTGGTAATCAATAAATTAAATATTCATTAAACCAATGAGAAGAGAAAAATTATATGATTGATCGATCTTATATTTTACGAATAATAATAATAATAATGAAAAAATTATACAAAATGCACACAAGCATCATATATTACACACACATCATATTATTACATTTATTATAGATTACAAATAATAATAATCAATGATTACATCAAATGATATGCGATTATCAAAGAATGTTCAAATAATAATAAACATTGAAATGATAAAATTGGATTTGTTTCGTTTCGATTCGATTCGATTTTATTATGAGTTTGTGTTTGTGTGCTGTGTGGTTTATCTGAATATAAGATCTCAATGAATGAATGAAAGAGAGATGTTTCAATCAAGCAATAACAATAACAACAATAAAAACCTTTTGTTTAATTTATTATTATTTGTACATTTGTAATCAATAATTAATCAATATTTCATTGGGTAAAAAAATAATATCATCAAATTTTCGATCATTTCGATCGATTCGCGATTGAAATTAACAATTGATAGAATACACACAATGATTTTCTATTCATTAATTTTTGAATAATGAAAAAATATCATTTCAAATTGAATGAAAAGTAAATAAAGTAGAAGAAAGAAAATCTAATCAGAACATTATGTGTGTGTTTGTGTTTGTGTGTGTACCTATCATCAATATTGATATTTCATTCTTTTGATTGATTAATGTAATGTAATTTTCAAATGATGATGATGATATAATTGAATTTGAGGTCAAATTTTGTGACAAAAACAAACAAACAAACGAATGAATCAGAATAATCGAAATGAATATTTATTTAACAAATGACTAAAGGCACGTTTATTCTTTTTTCCAACTATAGTTAATAGAAAATAAAAAGCGTGAGTATCATCACGGTTACTTCTTGAATTTTTTCAGTTAAAAAATGATAAAATCATCAATCAATAACGTGTTTTGATTTTGTTTATTGATGATATTTACGTTCAGTAAATGATTAATGATTAATGCTTTTTTTGTTTATCAGATTTCACACTTTTTTCTGAAGAAGAAGATGATCAATATGCACCAGCTTTCTTTCTTTCATGCATTTTTGATTCGGCAAATCAAATGAATGAAAAAATTGATAATTTTTTTTGTGTGACAAATGATTCAAAATTGATTAGAAAATTGATAAAACAAGCATGGTAGAAATTCAAGAGGTTCAAATCTTTCATCATTATAATCATCATCAATGTCTACAATGTATTATCAACGATTATCGATAATCGCGCGTGTGTGTGTGTGGTATGTGAGATTTTAGTTTTTCTTCAATCAATCAATCGATCGATCGATCGATCGAATTAATCAAACAGAAATGATGAAATGTAAATGATAATATTTGGTAGATGTAGTTTCGTTAAGTTTGTACTATGATCTTTTCAATTTCATTTCATTCATCGCTTGTGTGTCTGGCGCTGAAACGGTATTTGAGGATAATTTTTTTTTGGTTGATTTTTCAAGAAATTTCTATACAAAGATTATATGTTATACTTGAGAAAAATGATTTTTAATCAAATCATAATCAAAAAAAAGCAAAAGCAAAGAAAAAAAAACTATACAAAATATCAAAATAACAAATATAATCCCGGATGTATGGCTTAGGGTGAATGGATCGTAATGTTGTTGATTTTTGGTAATTTTCCATTGAAAATAAAATAAACACACTCCATGTGATTAATAAATTAAGATAATTTTTGTTTCATATGTATGCTTTGGTTTGTTACATCATTGAAAATATGATGATTATTGTGTATTTTAGGTATTTTTCAAATTGAGAATTTTTTAAAATTATTTAGTGCATGTTTGGCCATCTGATGGCCAAAAATCAAAACATTTGATTGGGAAAAAAATCAAAAAAAAAAAAAAAATTTTTTGCTAATCGACTTTTTGAGATTCTCGCCAAAAAAAATAAGAATTTAAAGTAAAATTTTTTTTTAACACTTACGATTCACCACTACCGATCGATGAATGTCTTGATGCTGATTTAGGTGATATTTCATATTCAGAATCAGAACGATATAAAAATGATTCACGTCGTACAGGTAGATTTTGTAATGCAAGTCCTGAAGCATTAACATTTCCGGCATTTGTTTGGCCACTTTCATCCACATCAAAACTATTTATTTTTGAAGAAAACAAAACAAAACAGAAAACAAATTAATAATTTTAGCAACCAAACAAACAATCTTTTAACAAATCAAAATGATGATAGAAAAATGATGATTTCAATCAATTGAAAATTTCAATAATAATAATAAAAACAAACAACAAAAAAACATATTGCAAAATGTGACACAATTTTTTTTACAACCTAAAACATTTACGTAATAAATTTCTTTTATGACCAATTATAATACAATTAGAATTCATATGTGGACAGGCATTTTGATTTTTTTCATGATTACGTTCGAAAAATTTTTGTATTACATCTTTACGATGATGATGTAGATGATGATTTTGACAATGTTGTTGTTGTTGTTTGGTCGACATTTTGTCAATAAACATAATGATGATGAGGAATTTTCATCATCATCATCATTATCAAATTTTAATTAGCAGACGAAATTGGAATTGAAAAAATGCAAATTAGAATAGAATTTGATTTGATTTGATTTTTCTGCTGACAAGTGAAAAAAAATTCTTGATAACAAAAAACAACGGTTTTTTGTCAATTTTGCTCTCGCTCTCTCTATACGACAAAACCAGAATAATTGACAAAAACTTTTTTATTCTGGAACAATTCAAAAGCAAACACAAAACACAAACACACGCACAAACATCATCATCAAGTTCTTGTGTGTGTGTGTGTGCGAAAGATCAAAAGTGTTTTTTTGTGTGCCATTCTTGAATTTGGTTGCCATCGTCGTCATCGTCGTTTTTTGTTCACGACGACGACAACAACAACAACAATGATAATGACAGCGACGAACCCGAATTTACCGATTGTCCATACAATAACTGAACTGAACTGACTGAACAAACAGAAAAAATGATGAAAAAAATGGCCGAATAGAAAGTTAAAATGGAAGAATTATGAAGTGAAAAATATAAACAAAATTTCATAAACATTCAATTCATTCAGACATTCACGAATCATACTACTACCAAATGTGTTATACTCCTACTACTTTAATGTTTGTCTATTCTAATTATTATTGAAAAAAAAATGAAAAACGATGAATTGATAACAACAACAACAACAACAGCAAAATTATATAACAACAACAACAACAAACGTTTTGACAATTTACGAATGACCAATGTTTTGCTGTTGTTGTTGTTGTTATTATTGATGATGTTATAATGTTATTATCATCATTGTCATCTCAACATTTTTTTTTTTTTTTGGAGAAAAATAAGAAAGAAGAAGAAGAAGAAATAAATTGTATTCGGGGATTTTTTTTGTTCAAGTTATTTTCTCATTATTATTATTATTTATCGATTATCAACATAGTTTCTTTCTCTTTACACTGGTAAAAATTTTGGTAAAACTTTGATGATGATAATAATTTAAATGACTGATGAATGACTTAAGGGCAATATCTAGCATGAATGCAAAATGGAATGTGTAATAGAATGGAATTTTAGTTACAAAAAAATTTGTTATTCGTTTTTTTTTCTCCCCGGTCAATTTACTTTGTTTTAATTTGTTTTCTGTTTGTAATTTGGGAAATGTAATAGAAAATCCCTCCAAAAAAAAAAAAAAAATAATAAAAAAAAAAATGAAAAAATAGGCAAAAAAAA